TTCCCAGCAAACTTACCCCCCAATGAGGGGCTTGAACTCACGACCCCAAGATCAAGAGTTGCATGCTCCACCAACTGAGCCAGCCAGGTGCCCCACCAGTGATTGTTTTTTTGTTTGTTTGTTTGTTTAATTTTTATTTATTTGACAGAGAGATAGACAGAAGAGCACAAGCAGAGGGAATGGCAGAGGGAGAGGGAGAAGCAGGCTCTGCACTGAGCAGGGAACCTGATGCGGGACTCGATCCCAAGACCCTGAGATCATGACCTGAGCCGAAGGCAGACGCTCAACCATTTGAGCCACCCAGGCGCCCCCCACCAGTGATTGTTTTAAAAGAAAACTTCGAACACGTCACTCTCTTTCCAAAACCACGTGCTGGTTCTCCATTTCACTCAGAATAAAAGCCAAAATCTGTTCAGTGGGCTACGATCCCCTCCATCCCCCCCATTCTTCTTCCCTTATGTTTCTCCTCCCCACTCCCTCTCCTCCGGCCACACTGGCCTCCAACAGGCCAGGCTCACTCCTGCCCAGGGCCTGGGCACCAGCTCTTCCATTTGTCTGCAATGCTCCTTCCCAGGTATCCGCAGGGCTCACTCCTTACCTTTCAGTCTTTCTCAGATGTCACCTTTGCAATGAAACGCATCGCAACCACACTAAAGCATTTGAAAACCACCACCCCTGGGCACTCCAGATTCTCTTATCCTTTTTCTACTTCTGTTCTTCCAAAGCACTTATCAGTACCTGTTGTACTGTGTCATTTGATGATACATTTTATTTATAATATATTGGTTTATGGTCCGTTTTCTCCCCCCAAGAATATAAGCCCCACAAAGGCAGGGATTTTTGTCGATTCTGATCACATGGTTGGCATTCAATGAATATTTCTAGAATGAAGTGCCTGAAGACAATAAAGCAGGGTGCGGTGAGAGAGAGTGACTGAGTGGGCTACTTTAGATAAGATTACTCGCTAGGCCATGAACTCCTTGAGGGAAAACAGGGGCTGGCTCTGTCGGGGGAGCATGAGACTCTTGATCTCGGGGTTGTAAGTTTGAGCCCCACGTTGGGTGTAGAGATTACTTAAAAATACCATCTTAAAAATATAGATGATAGGGGCGCCTGGGTGGCTCAGTTGGTTAAGCGACTGCCTTCGGCTCAGGTCATGATCCCGGAGCCCTGGGATCGAGTCCTGCGTCGGGCTCCCCGCTCTGCAGGGAGCCTGCTTCTCCCTCTCCAACTCCCCCTGCTTGTGTTCCCTCTCTCGCTGTGTCTCTCTGTCAAATAAATAATAAAAATAAAATCTTTCAAAACAATATAGATGATAGATACCTAGATAGATGATAGATAGATGGATATTCAGTCAATTCTGTCAGAATGCAGAGGAATGGTCTTAATCTTAAGACTGAGAGAGTACTATGTTTGCTGCACAAATTTGAGGGATGAGGTTAAATGACTTAACCAGGGCCACCAGCTAGTAGCGTGGCAGGCCTTGGATCTGGCTCTTAGTCACAGCGCATAGGTAGGCTGTGCACATACTGGAAAGTGCCATAGAAGGAAGTAGGGCCGCCATCTTTGAGGGTTATGGAGAGTCCTAACATTTTCTCCTGTCCGCCCTCCGCCCTTCAGAATTTAAATAAGGGTGAAACCAAGATCAAATAGTCATCTCAGGCAAGTTTGAGGGGGGAAGGAGTGACAGAAGCAGTAGTCTGAGTAGGCTGGTGGCCCTATTGCTTCAGCAGCCAGCCGGCAGGGCTGGAAAGTTTGCTGACTCTGTGGAATGAGCTTCAGCTCTTTTTCTTTTTGTTTTTAAACAAGGATATATCTCCTTTACATTGCCAGTGGGAAAAGAGAAAAAAGAGGAAGGGAAGGAAAGAAAGCTTTAATAGAGGGTTGAGCCTGTCGATAAAATCTGTTTTATTTTTCTCATTTGTAAAACCATTTAACCTCTGTACGCTTCAATCTTCTCATCTGTAGAAATAAAAATAGTATTCTGCTGATAGAATTGTGATAGGCGTGAAATGAAATAATAGGTGGCAAGCACACGGAAGTTTAATTAATGTTAACAATGCAAGTAATAGTGATATGATATGTTTACACCTTAGTTCTGCCCATAAATGCACAATAAATATGAGCAATGATTATACATTCGCTGTTTTCCATTGGAATCGGGCAAACATGCGAACATGCGGTAATCAGGGCTAGAGCACCCTCTGGTGGCGTAGCTGCCACCAACTCCACCAGCTGTCCCGACCTCCCCCTCCATGGGGCCAGAAGAGAAGGCTCTGTCCTGCTGTTAACCACCGGGCCACACCCACCCAAGAAGAGCCGCGGGGAGGCCACGCGACAGGTGCTCCCATCACAAAATGTTACCATTAACTCAGAATGATGAAGGATTCCCTGCGTTTGACTTTGAGCCCTATGAAACTAGCTGGCAGTCAACCATTTCTGACTCATGATAATGGCAAGTTCATAGGGTTGAGGCTAATAATTGCTGCTGGATGGGGAGTAAGTAAAAACTTGAGTGTGTAAAGTGCTAAACCAAGGAAACCAAACACACGACGACTTAAGAATGACTTTGTGGCCTGTGGGGTCTAGAGGTAAAAGAGGAACAACTTCTCATACTTAGTCAAACCCCTCAGTTTATAGTTGAAAAGTGCTTTTCAAACATCTTTCAAAGTCCTCACCATATCAGAAAGTGGCAGGAAAATAAGAGTGAGAGAATTCTTTTCTTGGTTCTTTGGCCAAATTCTATGGTTTCCAGGAGATTCTGCTTGAATCCTTCTTTTCAAGGGTCTTCACTGAATTGAAATCGTTCTGCAGTTTCTCCTACTCTCAGTGGCCGAGGCCAACAGCATTGGGAATTACAATTAGACTGAGAGATCTTGTAACACAATCAGCTAATACACACTTCCTAAAGTTTAATATCCTGAGGCTAGAGATATTGCCAACCCTCAGAATCCTGTTAATGACTTTGGAACAATTACACTTGTCATTTTGCACATTTAAAGCCAATAAGAGAAAATCAGAGTATCGAATCCCAATTCACAAGAGTGGATTGATGAGGTAGAATGTTAAAACCATGTATTATAGCACCACATTTTGGGTATGCCTCATGAGAAAAAAATATTCAAGCTCTGACAGGAGTCTCATCACCACAGGATAGGTACATGTCATTTTCCTGGAGATGTACATACAGTAAATGATCTGCTAGAGTGGCATTCCCAGTTGGGGGTTATTCTTACTCTAATATGGAGGAATTTTATACTCAGCCTGCTGGGAAGACTGTTTTCACAATGTTCTACGTGGCTCCGTCTTGCAAACCAAATCTGGGTCTCCCCAAAATGTCAACTTCTAAATCTTACATTTTACAATTTTAAAATTACTGAACTAAAATAAGTATCAAATTATCATTTTCTAAAACTTTTAGAGAGCTCAATATTACTTTTTAAAAAATCTATACAAGAGGGGCGCCTGGCTGGCTCAGTCGTTAAGTGTCTGCCTTCGGCTCAGGTCATGATCCCAGGGTCCTGGGATCAAGCCCCGCATCGGGCTCCCTGCTCAGCAGGGAGTCTGCTTCTCCCTCTCCTGCTCCCCTGGCTTGTGTTCCCTCTCTCGCTGTGTCTCTCTGTCAAATAAATAAATACATCTTAAAAAAAAAATCTATACAAGAAAAAAGGATCTATACAAGAAAAGAATGTAAATGATTCAAGCACTGGGAGCTCAGGTACCTTCTGAGAAACTTCTTAAAGCATTTGTTTAAACCTTGCACTTGAACTCCGTATTTTTTTTTCAAGCCGAACAAGCATATATTTGTTCTCCTTAGAGCTTCTCATAATACCTCTGTTATCCTCTCTGCTCACTCCAAAGGCATCCTATTAATTACAAACTGCATCCCTAATCCAAGCTTTTCTTCCTGAGATGAAGGCATATTCTGAAGTTAGTTCTAAGGCTGACACAACTTTGCAGGGCCTCCAGGAGGCTCCCGTTGTAAAATTCACATCAGTCATTACTTAATATGAAGCCGTCAGTTTGCCAGAAAAGCTAGTCTTTGTGCCCTTTACAGACTCCCCATTTGTGTCCTGTGCCCCCGCCAAGCACCATCAAGTCGAACGGGGACTCAGAAGATGTGAACCACACACGCTGAACATACTCCGCACAGCAGCGATTACTGTTCTTACCAAGAGTTAACTTTGTTAGGGGAAAAACCAGTGGCAAAACCACGGATCTGGTCTTTTGTACTCAGCACTGCTCAGGGGGCAATGAGGAATCGGCTTCATGGCCCCAAATTAAATAATAGTGTTATTCACATATGAAAGAAAGAATACGGCTGCCTACTTTTAGGAATCCTATTCAGATACAGCAGTGAGCTCCCAGAAATTGACCAGACAATCAGAGATCATTTAATGCAAGTGTCCTCAACCTTATGGCAAAACACAAACGAACAAACAAACCAAAAAATCTTGATGGGTCAGGAGAGAAGACGCTAGAGATAGTCGAGTTTGCAGAGGAGCAGGCCTCAGGGCCAGTCACACCCCCTTCCTTTGGAAAATCTCGGCAAGGCAGGGAGAACAGTGAGGAGGGCGTTGAGGATCTACTGGGGAGTAGATCACTACCTCCTAGCTAGAGATCCTTGCTTTGATGGAACCCCTGACAACCGACGGATTCCCCAGCAGGGAGACACACACATTCACATTTCACATCCTGCTTTCAGTGGCAGGCAGGGCACCCGGCAACAAGACCACATTCAGAGCCTGGACAAGCAGTTGTGTACATGGAAGCCTCAGATCTTATTCCAGATCTGTTGGATGAACTATCAAATCATTCTCTCGGGTTATTTCTAAAATCACAACCCAGAGTCAAGCTTCTGACTGGACGGGCCCTGAGAAAAGGAGAAACGGGCTAGAGCCTGTGGAGATACTTGGGTAAGCCACGGGGGTAAGAAGACCATTCTCTGGCACATGAGAAATGGTACTGCCAAACTCAGAATGTCACCCAACAGTGCCTACCTGAGTATTCTTTTTGCTTGAATGTCTTACTTCGCGAGCTGGCACGCGGCTTGGTGCTTTCCCATTCTGTGGATAATCCAGATGTACCAGGTCTCGGCAGTAAGAATGACATATATATTTACCCTCTGAAAGAGAGAGCACGTGAGGTTCCTGGTTAGATACGTGTGGCAGAGGGAAAGTGAAGCCCCCAAACCAAAAGCCAGCGTCTGACCTAGAGTAACGAATATGTGTTTGTGTGAGGCCCATTTGTTCACAGCAGTATGCGGGGCCATTTAAACCTCGACCGTCTTGGCCTTCATTGAAATCTAAACATAATATATCGGTGAATATATTTCACAAAGACGGGGATTAGGCTACTCTATTTTTTTGTGTCTGCAATTTTTCAATTGAGATAAAGTTCACATAATGTAAAATTCACCATGTTAAAGAGTAAAATCCAGTCTTTTTTAGTATAGTCATAATGTTGTGCAAACATGATCTAATTCCAGAACACTCCATTCACCCCAAGGACAAATCCCTTACCTGTTAGCAATCACTGCCCATTTCCTTCTTCCTCTAGCCCCTGGCAACCACGAATCTACTTTCTGTGGATTTGCCTTTTCTGGACATTTCCCATGTATAGAATCATACAGTCTGTGGCCTTTTGCGTCTGGCTTCTTTCAACCAGCAGGTGGTGGCACATATCAGAATTTCATTCTTTTTTATTGTTGAATAATATTTAATTGCCTGGAAGGGACACATTTTGTTTATCCACTTATCGGTTGATAGATATTGGGTTGTTTCCATTCCTAGGAATGGAATTTCTGGGTCATATGGTAAACTCTGTTTAATTTTAACAGACTGCCAAACTGTTTTCCAATGTAAATGTCTTTAAAAGAGCTCTTTCTGGGGTGCCTGGGTGGCTCAGTTGGTTGAGCGACTGCCTTCGGCTCAGGTCATGATCCTGGAGTCCCGGGCTCGAGTCCTGCATCGGGCTCCTTGCTCAGCGGGGAGTTTGCTTCTCCCTCTGACCCTCCCCTCTCTCGTGCTCTCTCTCATTCTCTCTCTCAAATAAATAAAAATCTTTTTAAAAAGAGCTCTTTCAGCTACATTACAATACATAGATAAGAAATTCTACAACTCTGTTCACCAGCAAATAGAATTCTCACAATACTAGTCTAGTAATGGGATCCATTACATTATGAAGTACTTAAGGGACCTTATCATGAAATAACTTCACCCATTAAAGTAGTATTATCCAGATAAGAAAGACCCTGCAGGAAAATTTAGAGTGGGGATCTATTCATGGTTTTAATTCTAGCCAAGGATAAAGCAGTCTGTATCATCATCATCATCAAAATGTTTGTGTGTTGATGCTCTGATCAGACCTATAGGAGGGTAACAGGGACCTGGCTTACAAAATAGCATCCAAAGGTGACCTAGAAGTCAGAGCCTCTAGAGTCAAACTCAACTAATCTGCAGAGACTTATTCCTCACGCAGGTGTACATTCTTAAATCCACGAACAAAATGCTAGTGCCTACTTCATTCCAGGGCTTGTTAGACAGTTACCGGAAGACTCAGCACAGTGACAGAAGACTGAGTCTCTGCCCTCAGTGGGAGGAATGGGTACGAGAAGCGATCCTCACGATACAGTGTGGCAAATGCTATAACATTATGATGGGGACACAGAACCGGTATCTGCCCGCTTTTTGAACCTGGCAGAACCCCAGGCTTTCCCATGCATTCCCAGGCATGCCTCTCTACCTGAACACCCCCCACCGTTCTCCTTCCAGCGCCGCAAGCCTGAATGCATTTTTCCATCGCTTCTCAAGAAAGATTTGGGAGCTGCGGACTAAAGCTTAGAAGTCCTTGAGTCCTTTTAGGAAGAATCTGAACTGCAAAACACATGTCTTTGATATTTATAACTGGTCACAATAATGCTGGAGTTAATGTTCCATCTGTTATGGAAAATTAAACCTACTGAGCCGTCCTGTGATAGACGCTGGATGGCTCTGGTGTCTCCAACCTTCATTTGACTCATGCGAAATTTGGAAGCACATTTGCCTACGAGAAATAAAGCTCATTTGTGAACTGGCTTATAAATGAACTCAGATGATGAGACAGCGAAACAGCAGACCCGACGGAAGCATTTATCCCCAGCCCTGAAGGCCACCTGGGTCTTTCTAGCACATCAAAGGCAGAGAAAATTGAACCAACGTGGAGGCTCCTCGTCCTCCCAGCAGCCCAGGGACCAGCCGACTCAGAAGCAGAGGTAACCTACCGGGTCTGTGAGTTTTCTTCACCTGAAAGCTGATTTTGCCAGAGAGCTTATAAATGGCAGTTCCCATCTGTGAGCCCGGCTCGGCCGCGTAGCAAGAGAGAGGGAGAGAGAGAGAGAGAGAGACAGCTGAGGGCGACAGGCTGAGCAGGCCAGCCCAGGCTGACCTGTGTGCCTCAGCGCCCACCAGGAGGCTGGGCCTCCCTCCACTCCCTGGCTTCACGTATTTTCCAACTGGCCACCAGCACGCTCGGCAGTTCACTCATTGGGGCTGTCAAATGCTCACAACCATATCCATAAATCACGTGAGAGAGGTCAAGGGAGCATCTCCAGACCTCAGCAGTGATTGGAGATGCCTGTAATGTGGTTGTTGAGGCCTCTGGACACAGTGGAGGCAAGCTGGGTGATCTCTGGCCAGCTGTGCCTTCCTTTCTTCGATAAAACGAGGAAAACAATTGTCCGCATCTCACTGAGCTCTCATAAGTATGGAAAGTGCTTCCGGTGATGGTGCCATTACAGTGACTGCTCTACAGGGTTAGCCACTGATACCGTGTTGTTGCAAGAAACCCCGTGCTTTTCTTGTTGAGAAAATTTGCATTTGGGGGGCTCCTGGCTGGCTCAGTCAGAAGAGCATGTGACTCTTAGTCTCGGGGTCGTGAGTTTTAGCCCCATGTTGGGTATAGAGATTACTAAAAAAATGAATAAATCAATTTAAAAGAAGAAAATTTGCATTTGTGGGCAGGGTTAGTGACTCACTGGAGTAGTGGTTTCTAGCTATTTCCAAGAAACCCCACTTCATATGATAAATCAGATCACAATTCTCAGTGTTTCAGGGAAGGGACTACTGTAAAATAGCCACGGATGAGAAGAAGCAGGCTGCTCATTAGCATTTTCAATCAAATCCATAAAGGGGACTCTTTTCTATTTGCACCAATAATCCACAACCCAGCCTGAGAGCAAGAATCGCTGCCTGGTGTCATCCTTCCCTCTTGTGAGAACTCTTTCTAAGCCTTCTGTCCTCAGTGGCCACTTCCTGGTGGTCAGAAATCCCACAGGTATTCTGTTCCTGACAGCCCCTCACCTCTTGTTGACTTTGGGGTGATTTTACCCCTTGGGTGAACTCTCAAGACAGCCCTCCGAGAAGGGTTGTGTGGCTTCACTTCTCTGGTGTCCTGAGGAGAAGAAGAAGTGATCTCACCAAAGCCAGGTCTCGTGGAGGGGGGGCTCCAGGATTTGGTGCAAACCCTCATGGCACAAAAATAGCATTTCTTGTTTTTCAGCTGGCTCTGTCACTCACCAGCACGGAATCCACGTTCTCAGCTTTCATGTCTGTAAAACTAAGGGGCTTCAAGGTCACCTCTAAGATCTCTGTAAATTCTACTTTCCTCTGAGGTTCTGAAATGGGAGTTTGAACAACCTAGGGACAGAGGGATGCCATGGAATCCACGTGAGGTTAGAGGCTAAATATGGTTCATCTTTCAGGAGCATTGACATTATTTTTTCATAGTAAAACAAAACTAGGGATGTGATGAAATGCTATACCAAATTCTCAGTTGTTTTTTTTTTTTAAGAAAAAAGTGAGATTAAAATCATGTTCAGGGGCGCCTGGGTGGCTCAGTCGTTAAGCATCTGTCTTTGGCTCGGGTCATGATCCCAGGATCCTGGGATCGAGCCCCACATTGGGCTCCCTGCTCAGCGGGAAGCCTGCTTCTCCCTCTCCCATTCCCCCTGCTTTGTATTTTCTCTCTCGCTGTGTCTCTCTCTGTCAAATAAATAAATAAAATCTTAAAAAAGAAATCCCACATTCAACATGTGTAAATCAAAACTGCCTTCTTGGGGCACCTGGGTGGCTCAGTCGTTAAGTGTCTGCCTTCAGCTCAGGTCATGATCCCAGGGTCCTGGGATCGAGCCCTGCATCGGACTCCCTGCTCCGTGGGAAGCCTGTTTCTCCCTCTCCCACTCCCCCTGCTTGTGTTCCCTCTCTCGCTGTGTCTCTCTCTGTCAAATAAATAAATAAAAATCTTTAAAAAAAAATCATGTTCATTTTGGAAAAAATCGTGATGATGATTGAACAATAGTGTGAATATAATTAATGCCAGTGAATTGTATATTAAATGTGGTTAAAATAGCAAATTTTCAGTTATATATATTTTTACCACAATAAAACAAATTTAAAAAACAATGTTCAGGTAGACTAGAGAGTTCAGAAATAACCCATATTTACTTGGTCAATGAATTTTCGACAAAGGTACAAAGGCAATTCAGTGGAGAAAGGATGCTCTCTTTAACAAATGGTGCTGGGACAATTGGATATTCATATGCTTTTGCATATTTTAAAACAAATTGCAATTCGTACCCTTGCCATATACAAGAATTGATTCAAAATGGGTCATAGATCTAAATGCAAAAGCTAAAGTGGGGCGCCTGGGTGGTGCAGTTGGTTAAGCATCTGACTCTTGGTTTTGGTCCAGGTTGTGATCTTAGGGTCATGAGACTGAGTCCCATGTTAGGCTCCATGCTCGGCGTGGAGTCTGCTTGAGTTTCTCTCTCCTTTTCCCTCTGCTCTTCCCCCCTGCACTCTCTCTCAAACAAATAATTAAATCTTTTTAAAAAAATAAATGCGGGACGCCTGGGTGGCTCAGCTGGTCAAGCGACTGCCTTTGGCTCAGGTCATGATCCTGGAGTCTCAGGATCAAGTCCCGCATCGGGCTCCCTCCTCAGCAGGGGGTCTGCTTCTCCCTCTGACCCTCCCCTCTCTCATGCTCTATCTCATTCTCTCTCTCAAATAAATAAAATCTTTAAAAATAAAGTAAAATAAATGCAAAACCTAAAGCTATAAAAATTCTTGGAGAAAACAGGAGGAAATC